CCGACGTTGATCTTCCTTGATGATTTCACGAATTTTTTCAACATTTTCATGTGTTCGGGCCGTGGAAGGACGACCAGAACGAGGTTTGTCATCAATTGACATTTCACCATTTTTGAAATGGGAAAACCCCTCAAACACTTGAGTTTTCCCCATAGCATCGTCCTTGTACACCGTTTTTAACATTTCAAGAGTTTCTGTTCCACTTTTTCCGAGCGAAAAGTAGAATTTCATCGCCGCACGCTGTTCACGAAAATCAGCCATTGCAAAAACGACGATCACACAAAGCAGTTGTCACTATAAACTCTGCCGAAACTAGTCCTTACCTTCTGAAGCAACGGTAGTCGGCTTATCGACTCAGGAATGTTAGCTCTATGCGCTCATAGCGGCAAAACACGGTACTACAAAAGCTCTGCCCACAAAAAAATTAGTTCGGTTTCTTTTGGGTACCCCATCGTATATGGCATTACATCCAGAAGACTGAACTCTTCATAGCCCCTGCTGTAAGAATCTTAAACCTTACATTGATGGACATTTGCTAAAATGTAGAATCTGTATGAGAGACACATAAAGAAAGAAATGAAACTATTTTGTTCTGAGGATTACATGGGAATACATCACCATGGACATATCAACCTCTTCCATGTACAAGACATGTGAAAATGTTTTTGGAAAAAGAGACATGCCTGTGGGACTAAGCAAGCTGGAAGTACAGATTGGCCAAAAGTTCAGTAACCCTAAATCACTACAATCAAAGAGTGAATGAATTAATAAAACTGAAACAAGAATCTTTCTATTATGTTATTTTTTTCACCACTTCACACTCTGAAATTGATGTCACAGTGACCAAAAAAACAGACATGACAGGATTAAATCTGACATTCTGTGTCCCAGATCTACCGTAAAGTGCATGAGAAATGTCAGTGAGGTAGTTCAAGAGAGAGAACATTACAGACTTCAAAAGGCATCTAAGAATTGGTTAAAATATGTTGATATGTGTTAAAAGCTTCTCAGACAATCAACCATGCCAATGTTGAATTAAATCAATGTTTCAGAGATATCCTCCAGCTCCATCTTCATGGTTGATGTGGGGAACAACCATATATTCTTGATACATATGCCATCTTTCAAACAGATGCCTCATCTTACGTGTGCTTATGTTTTCCATTTTGTTCAGAATGTAGCAACAGTGATTAATTTGTTCTCTCTGATGAAGTAAACGGAACTACATAATAGCACAAGAGGACAAGCCTCTCCAGAACATACCCAGTATACAATAGACATAATGAAGCAACTGAATGGTAACTTTCACTGTGCAAGATGGCAGAGAACATCAAACATCCTCAAAAATTCAAACCTGTGCTGAATATCCAGATAACAAAAGAAAATCTCCATGTGGCCACAGGATTCACAGCATAGATGTGTACACAATGTGATCTTACATTGTGTTGAATCACCTGACTCCCAACGAGCACAGAAAGGAAGATGAAATGCAGAACTGAGGGATGCATATAGCTTCTAAGTACTTACAACATACAAAAGTAATGTCTCAGAATTATATGGCAAAACTTTTATAGTGAAATAATTTGAAATTTTCAAGTCATATATTTTGTAATGCAATGAGCACTTTTCCCATAAACATTGCTTAAAATTTTTATACTGGGAAAAACAACTGTTTTATGAAAAAGACAAAACTTTATGAAACTAATTATATATTTTCAGGTGTTACTGACAAGACATGGGTTTTGGATTGATAAGTGGACTTACTGAATCCTAATAATTCTTAACTAAAGGTAACTATAACAACCTCACTACTGCAAATATTAAGGCTTCCATATCTCTACAACTTGTTACTTGGTAAGGCTCCTAATGGTGAAGATTTTTTAGGTTCCGTGCTCATGTCTTTGCCAGCTGGCTACCATCTCGCCACTAACTCATAACTGCAGCTCACTTGCTTGTCTCACTGGTCCTTGTTATATAACCTCATGGTGGACTGCATAAAAACATCGTGTCACAGTAGTTGTACACTGGCCTTTGCATAGCAATGGTTCACGATTTACCGGCCGTTGCCTGGCAACGGCTTCCTCTTCTCACTCCACTATTCCAGCTTTCGGCTATTATGTCACAATATATTTAAAATTTACTCATTTCTGTGTGTTTTGCATCAGCAAAAATATCCTCTACTATCAATCATCTCTGTGAAATCAGACTTGTTTGATGACCGTGTCCCAAATTGTACTGCTCATTTCTGCCAGGAAAGCTGTCAATAGGATGAATAAGACAAAAGAAATGATGAAATTGATTTGTGTCTGTAGTAAGTGAACATGACAATTATTAAGAAATGAAAATTCACAAAAATGCATTTCGAAAATATATGCCCCCTACTGGAGAACACCTTTTGACTCATTATTATGCTGGCCGGTATATAATAGATGTTTAAATGTTCATTTTATACACCGTTTCTTCAAAGAACAGAAAGTTAAACTCAAATTACCTGCCTAGTTTCTGGGTTGTAAAAGAAGTTAGACCAATTAGGGTCAGTCTGCATGTAGCGAAACTCAAACAGTTCCTTTAGGCAGAGTTCCATCACAAGTTTGCTGATGTGTTTCCTTGTCTCCAGGTCCAGGTCCACACACTTATCCACTGGAATTCCCTCCACTAGTTCTGTTGTAAAGATCTGTTTTGTGCTGAGATTGTCTGAAATTGTATAGCATTCAATTATAACAGGTATTTTTTTAATCTGTTCAAACTTCCTCGTATTTTGGATCAAAGATTCTCACAGCAGGGGTTATGAAGAGTTCTACCTTCTAGGAATGAACGCTGTGTAGTCTAGTGAAAGTCAACCGACATTTTGGAGGAAAATGTTGCATCCACTCTCTGGACTGAAGTGTAAGGTAAGTAAAACCAGCATGAAGCATGTGGCAAGCCATGACTCCCATTGGTCAACCTTGGTTCTCTGAGAAAGCCAATGGGAACCGACAGGTTGACTTCTAAGTTAAATTCTGTTTCCATATAACCTGACATTTCTGTAAGCTACTTGCTCTAATTGCTTCATTCTGGTTTCCTGCTTGGCTTACTCTTCAACCCTGAGGTTCAGGTGACGTGTTCTTCCAAAATACTGGTCAACTTTCAAGGAAGTACACAGTGTTATATCTGAGAAGATAGAACTATTTCTTGCATTTAACCCAATTATCCCCTTCAGTGCTGAATTCTGGGGTGCAGTGCCTCTGCAAGGAACTGACTGAGCAGTTTGATGAAACACAAATGGACTTATAGGCAGTAAAGATGTCCCTCGATATGCGGACAAAAAGCCCCCAAGAAACCCTAGCAGACATGAGGAATGGCCTTCACAATGAGCTCCGCCTCATGCTGCAGGTCAAGGTAGAGATAACGAAGGCTGAAATAAGTATCATTCAAGAAAGGATGGTAGCCTAGACGGAAACCCTGCAACGCAAGTTACAGACACATTTCAAAGATGTCGAGGCTACAGCCAAGCGCAGAAGGGGAACAGGAACAAGAGTGGGCATGGCGAAGAGTTTGATGGGACTATATCACGGGCCATGTTCTGGCGCCAGTTCGAGACCACAGCAGAGCACAACTGCTGGATGTACCTGGAAAAATCAACATACTTAATCAAAGCCTTGCAGGGCTGGGTCACCAACATGCTACATGGAGTCCCGAAAGGAGCGACCCAAGAAGAAACTCTTCAGGCCATTGAAGAACTGCTACGAGGACCAGCACCCAGTGGCCACGTATCACAGTCAGCTAAAATTGAGGACCCAGGGTGTTGGACAATCCTTTCAAGAATTTGCTACAGGCATTGAAGAGCTGCTCCACTGCTCCTATCCGTACTACTCAAGGACCATGTAAGGAGGCAGACAAGGCATCTGCAGACACTGGAAACTCAACAAAATGCTTATACAGAGAGAGAGAGAGGAAAACTGAGATGCACTAAAGCTCATGTATAAAACACGTCTAAAATATCATTGATGCCATATCATAATCAGACAGTAACTCTGTTTTCAACATAGAGTTTTCTTCTGTAAGGCTGCCTATGCAAGATGATGTATACTCTACTATTTTAGATTATATAAGAAACTATCTTAATGACATACCTATAACATGTGGTATATAATATTCAGGATAAGGCACCAATAATTCTTGAAATTTTTTTGTGCATTCTGATTCACGCTCATAATCCACTTCCCAAGCAAGTTCTCTCTTTGCTACCGTGATGAGATTATCAATAAACAGGGCTGAAATAAACAGATACAAATTACTAAACAGCTACCCTACAGCTATTGCACTTATTGTGGTATCATTGTCAGTACAGAGTATTTGGTGGTATGAAAGTTGTTTTGCTTCTGTCCAACATTAGTATTTTTTTTAAGAATTTTTGTCAAGTATTTATTTTGCTGGTGGTTACATCAAGAGTCCAGGTTTCCACAGCACAGTTTCTGTACTGGCTGAGCTTCCCTGGCTCCACAATCTAGTAGAACCAGTTCTTTAGCTTCTAACAGAAAGAGAGTCTCAGGTTTTGAAATAAACAAGCCAATCTCCTCTTCCTGATGTTTTATTTGTAGATTTTTATTTTTTATTTGTATTTCACTGTTACGCTCAATGTTCCATTTACAATATATACACTTCATGTTATGTATATAAACCTTAAATTACTGATCACCACAGTAATCAAAATACAGACACTTCGTTTCACATCATAACATTTGAAGTTCTCACAGCTGAGGTTACGAAGAGTACTACCAACTGATACAGCACTGTGTAGTCCATTAAAGTCAAACAACATTTTGAAGGAATGTATCTTGCTTGACTTATTCTTTGACCCTTGAAGATGGAGGTGATATGTTCCTCCAAACATTAATAAAAAAATTGATTAAAATATATATTTATTTGAAATAGTATGGTCAAATCATCTACTGGAAATTAGACATCACTGGTAAAGGTGTCCTGTTTAAGCCATTGAGAGCATCATAATTAAAAATACTGTAATTAAAATACATGTCAAATGAAGTAGATAGCATTGGAATATCTCTGTACAGTACAGAACTTGCCTCCAGGCCTCTGAAGAGGACAAAGAAGGGATACATATCAAAGTCACATGACGAAATGCAAGAGAATGTATTCTTACCAGCAGACAAATGAAATCCAGTCAGAAGTGTGAAGCATCTGGTATACAACAGGATGCATGTCTATTACTTACAGTGACCATGCAAGTCACTGCTGTCAATGTGTAAAGTGGGAGTTAATAAAAACACAAAGGAGAAATGGGGGTTAGTTTGTAAGCCCACTTTGTATATTGAGCTCAAGAGTCATTGTCAGGTAGATATGAATGCAAACATAATCCAAGAGAAACTAAATCATCATGGGTTATCAGCACCACTTATCTAAATTCATACCATGGCAAGTTTTACTTATCAAATGTGCAAAAGGTGGTGGTATTCACCTGAATAGTATATTTCTAACATCAGGAGGTGTGCTATGCATTTCACATTCAAAGTGACACAATAGCACCAAAAGCAAAAACAAAAGAAAAAAAGAATCTGAAAGTTTCCTTGTAGTTCATGCCTGCCTTCTGCTGTTTGTGCATTTAGCTTCACAGTATATATATATATACAAAGGATGTTCCATATATAATGCCTCCTATTTTTTGTGTTAATATGTAGTGTCTGAGCTGGATGTTGATGATGTTGTAGTAAAGGTTGAACCTTCCCGCCAATGTACTGTTAGTTTGGTTGTTGTGTGACAGACAGTGACAGCAGAGCAGTCTACCAAAATGGCATCTGACATAGAAGTCCATATGAAACAGAGATGTGTTATTGAATTTCTCACTGCCGAACAAATTGCACCCACTGACATCCATTGACGCTTGTTAAAGGTGTACGGAGATGATACAGTGGAAGTCAGTACAGTGAGGCGGTGGGTAGTGCATTTCAACAGTGGCAAAAGTGAAGTGCATGACAAGCCACGCCCTGGGCGTCCCTGCTCAGCTGCCACTCCTCACAATGAACAGCACCTCGATCAGCTCATCCGTACAGATCAGCAGATAACGACCAGGGAACCGTGGGTACAGCTTAATATCGGCTGTAATGCATTGGAAATGATGTTGGTGTAGCTGGATTATCGCAAAGTTTGTTCCAGGTGGGTCCGGTGGATGCTTACACAGGATCACAAAACTCATTGAATGGAAGTCTGTCAGAACCTGTTGCACCAGGTTGAGGCTGAAGGTGACAAGTTTCTAGAGAGCATCGTCACTGGAGATGAGACGTGGTGTCACCACTATGAGCCGGAATCCAAAAGACAGTCCATGGAATGGCAACATCCGGATTCCCCAAGAAAAAAAAAAGTTCAAGACACAGCCATCGGCAGGGAAAGTGATGTGCATGGTCTTTTGGGATAGGTGGGGTGTGATTTTGTTGGATTTCCTGGAGCCTGTTGAGACTGTCATTTCTGAATGCTACAAGACGACGCTGACTAAGCTGAAAGCCCACATTTCCCGAGTCAGGGCAGAGAAGCAACAACCTTTCGCTTGCAACACAATAACGCTAGACCCCATACCAGTTTGTGACCACCGTGCACATTGCAAAGTTTGGCTGGACTGTCCTAACACATCCACCCTATAGTCCTGATTGAGCACCTTCAGACTTCCATCTCTTTGGGCTTATGAAAGATGAACTACGTGGGCAACATTTTGCAGACAACGATGTTTGAAGAGCGAATTTATTTGACCCTGAAACAGAAGTGCTTAGTTTGCATGCAGAGAACCATTTTAATGGAAGAACACTTGCCAACTGAAAATGTGAGAATCTTTCATAACTGGATGAAATTCCTAAGATTATATTTAGTAAAACTGCATAGTTTTGATGTTGAAATTATGCTGTATTTTAGTCAATGAGAAATGTCCATCACAAGACATGATCTGAATGCCTCCTTCAGTCCTGTAGCTTGTTTCACTGTGTACTGTGTTGTTTAGCTACTGAACAGGATTTGGGAACTTTCTGTGAATGTGGTGCAAGTTTTTCTTACTAATAAGCAGCTAAAGAGTTGGTTAGGCATACAAAAGGTTATGTAAATATGAGAAAATCTTTACCTTCTCAATACAGATAATGCTAAAGGTGTCAAGAATAGTGAATTATTCTTATTTTTTGGGCAGCATTTCTGACTGCAAAAGATGCTTTCAAATATGCAGTTTGTAGGGAGTACAAGAGTGCACGCACAAAAAAACTGTTTAACTTACAGATTCTCCTAAAGGCACTGAATTATTCTCCATTATTTTCATATCACTGTGATAACGACTCAAAGAAAGTAAATATTGCCATACTAAAATTAAATGTGCTAAATTTTTGGAGCCATACTGTAATATAGGGATTTAGAACTTACAAGATGGACTTGAATTTTATGACTACCTGTTACAACAAGCATTTTATGAACTTTATAAACAAGCATGCTGCTTATTTGCCCCACTATTCAACCTTGCAAGATGGAGGCAGTAGATTCTTTCAAAATGTAAGTAAACTCATACTAAGACTACACAATCTTAACATCCCAGAAGATAGCACATTCAAAATCTTATTCCATTTTACTAAAACGTTACCCGGTTAAAAACTTCACTGTTCATATATTTACAACCTCACTGAACTCTTGTACCTCTGCTGAATGTTGCTAGTGTACAAAAAATGGTGCATTGTTCTCATCTATGTTCATGGCATGAATAGTTGTGAAGTTCCAAAATTCAGGACGTTTTCACTGTCACGATGTCTACGCCAAGAAATCAGTTACTTGGTACTTGTGACACTGATGTAGCTGAATCAGATACGGACACATACAATTCACAAGCAGGGTTCCAAAAAAGGAATTCTATCCATTCATTGCCCTAAAATATTCAGAAAACCTTACTAAAGCCAACTTTGTTGATGCAAAAATCCTTATAAATGGAAGTGCGTCGATTTGAAGTTTACAGGCAGGGCACTTACTTACTCATGGAGCTGAGCCCTTCTGGAGGAGCCGCCAATCCTGCAGCTACTCAAGAATTTCCCAGCATTTTATGAAACCCGAAGGTTTGTTACCATGTTCACAAGAGCCCTCCACTGGTCCCTATCCTGAGCCAGATCAATCCAATCAATACCATCCCATCCTATCTCTCTAAGATCCATTTTAATATTGTCCACCCACCTATGCCTTGGTCTTCCCAGTGGTCTCTTTCCTTTTGGCTTTCCCACCAATATCCTATACGCATTCCTCGTCTCCCCCATTCATGCTACATGACCTACCCACCTCATCCTCCTTCACTTGATCATTCTAATTATACTTGGAGAAGAGTACAAGTTATGAAGCTCCTCATTATGCAGTTTTCTCTAACCTCCTGTCACTTCATCCCTCTTCAGTCCAAATATTCTCAACACCCTGTTCTCAAACACTTTCAGTCTATGTTCCTCTCTTAATATCAGAGACCAAGTTTTGCACCCATACAGAACCACAGGCAAAATTATAGTTTTGTATATTCTAATTTTTATGTGTTTGGACAGCAGGTGAGAAGACAAAAGGTTCTGGACTGAATGGTAGTAAGCATTACCCCGAGTTCAATCGCCCCGTCAGGTTTCGATCTGTTATTGTTGTTCCCAAATATCTGAACTGTGCCACATTTTCAAAACATTTGCTTCTTATCTTTATGTGATGATTTTGCCCTGCATTTTGGTTTACAGGCAGGGTAGCTGAACTTAATATAAAATTGCAAATATAGCTTGTGTGTTCATAGGTCTTATTTACTTACTTATGGAGCTGAGCCCTTCTGGAGCTGCCAATTCTGCAGCTACTCAAGAATTTCCCAGCATTTTATGGAACCCAAAGGTTCATTAGCGTGTTCACAAGAGCCCTCCACTGCTCCCTATCCTGAGCCAGATCAATCCAATCAATACCATCCCATCATAGGTCTACAACTAAATTTAAAAGAAACAGTAAGGTAGTGCTTATTTCTTCAGGGATTTTCTATAAACATTTTAAAAACTTACATTTTGGAAACACATTCCATATTTTCAGAATTCCAACTAAATTGTCAATATCACTTTCAATGCCCCTTGCAACTCCTGGGTACTGAATCTTCATTGCCACTTCTCTTCCATCAGGAAGCACTGCAAGATGCACTTGACCAATGGAGGCTGCAGCAAAAGGTTTTGGCTCAAATGTTGTCACTTGTAACTGCCAGTCTTTCCCAAGTTCAGATTCTAACACTTTCTATTAGATAAGACAAACAAACATTATAATAACTGCAGAGGGCCCACAGGTGAATGTATACCGTCTGCTTTGAGTCAACATACATCATATGGCACAGGTAAAAGTAAAGTAAAGGTATCCTTGTAACAGCCCATGGAGGTCCATAGGGTTGTAAGATGTTGACGCTCCCACATTTTCTAGACCATCAGCTCACAGATGGAGGCAAGGTTGTCAGCCCTATGTGCTGGCCACTCTTTACCCCTAAGAATATTCCAAGAATATTCCTGGTACTCATTTCTGTTAGAAACTGAGTCATAGAATTTAAGATGGAGGGAAACAAAAATGAGTAACTAATAATGGTGGGAAATGCTCTGGAAACACAAGCACTTGAATGGCCAGAAAGCAAATAGGAAAATATCTGAGCTATGAAATTTCAGAATTTGTTATGTAAGAATTATTACCTACCTAGTCTGATATATGGAGCAGAAACTTGATACTGCACTAAGGAAAAAGTAAATGGATTACAAACAGTATAGGTGAAGTAATTACGAAGAACTGAGAAACTAATAATAATTACTGTCTTAAAACCAGATCATGAAGTAATACATGAAAGTTAAAACACTACAGGGAAATTCTGTGAAATTACAGAAACAGTGGTATAAAGAACAAGATTTCCATGACAGGACAAAAAATGATGTTGCTTATACAACAACTGTGGTGACAAAGGGCAAGTAGGAGAGACCAAATGAGGAAAATATTCTAAATGGAACACGGAAATTTGGAGCATACATACAAAAAGGACAGACAGGACACAGAAGGCTTAGTTAGTTAGTTATTGGAGAGGGTGGGTTTCCCCATGCACTTAGACCTGTATTGGTCCATTGTGCTTCCCTCTATGATTTCTACCAGTATCTATATCCTACCAGTACTGGTGCTTACCATCAGTCCTGCCCAGCCAGCGAGACCGGCTCTACTAGCTGAGAGGTATCTATAATGCTTCCCCCATCTACCAGAGGTATTAGAGACTGCTGTTGGGCGGGAAACATCCGTAATTTGGCTCAGTGATCTCCTTTGGAGATATGAGGTTCTTTTACGTGCCGTAAAGCTACGATACGGGACCCACGGCTTAAAGTCCCTCCCGGAGGACTTGTTCCCTGAATTTTTCCGCCCTTAAAAGTTCGACGACCTCCGCCAGGTATTTGAACCCGCGTACCACGAGTCATGAGGTGGGAACGTTACCTCTAGACTACGGAGGTCGCTTCACACAGAAGGCTTTGTCACAAGACAACCCATCCTGGTGGATATATCAAAATAGATCTTAAATAAACAGGCTGTGGATGTGATGGTGTGGACTGAAATGAACACAATATGAAACATTTTGGTCCCACAAAAAAACAGCAAGACAGACTTACTTATTATATTTAGTGAGTCACTGAGATCACAGACTGCCCATATCCCTCTCTATCATCTAGGAAAAAAACTAAAGGCTTTAATCAGAGTCTGTACACTCAAATACACAGTTACATGCTGATACAGTGAACTGAGATGACCTCAAAAAAGTATTGGTTACATTAAAAAGTACCTAACATTAAAAATGGTTTAAATGTGTATAAGTAATGAAAGTTAGAATATCATGTATAAATCCCACAATACACTAAAAGCACACATTTTTAAAGTAGGGTGTATTTCAGACACTGGAATAAGGAGTTATCTTCCAAAATAAGCTTCATCAGTAAAGTAAAGCTATCCCTGTAACAGGCCATGAAGGCCCATAGGGTTGTGAGATGTTGAGGGTCCCACATTATCTAGAAAATTGGCTCAAAGATGGCAGTAGGGTTGTCAGCCTTAGGCGCCGGCTGCTCTTTACTCCCCAGGAAAATTATGTATTTAATTAAGTTCCATCAGTAATCATTATAAAACTGGGAGCCTAAAGTGATCCGCTGTCTTGTATCTACTGTACATTCGGCTTTAGTTCTGAAGGTTCTTAAAACAAGAAGATATGTCGCTGATAATATGAGTAGATCAATGATTAAGTGAATCAAGTCAAAAATCGGACCTGGCTCACTTTAAGTATGAAATCATCAAGTCAGTGGCTCTACAACACTTTGGGAGATGGCTGCAGTGCACTTCTCCAGAAAACAAATGTAACTCTTACTCACAGCTGTAGTGAATCAAGTCCACAGGCGTTTGTTTTAATTGCTAATGACTCTGCACTGTTTGTTCTATTCAAGCGATTTTATTGCTAAACTTTTAGCGTTTTTAAATAAGTCATGAATGATTTAGATATACATAATATTTTGTCTGACCGCCTCTGTAGTCTAATGGTCGGAGTTCCTGACTACAGATCCAGAGGTCCCAGGTTCGATTCCCGGCGCTATCAGATTTTCTGAGTTGTGGGTCTGGAACAGGGTACACTCAGACTCACGAGGATAACTGAGGAGCTATTTTAAGGAAATAGCGGCTCCAGTCTAGAAAAGCGAAATTAATGGACGTGGGGATTCGATGTGCTGACCACATGACACCCTCTATCTGCTAAAGTTGGCACTAACTTCGCTGACAAGTGGCGGTCGCTCGGTTGGTATAGTTCACTTGCGGACTACAGGCTACGGAGTTTTTGTTTTTTATATTTTGTCTACTCTAAGTACTGATGAATGTTTTNGTGCTAAAGTTGGCACTAACTTCGCTGACAAGTGGCGGTCGATCGGTTGGCATAGTTCACTTGCGGACTACAGGCTACGGAGTTTGTTTTGTTTTTTATATTTTGTCTACTCTAAGTACTGATGAATGTTTTCCTTCCAATGACAAAGACTTGTCCAATGAAGTTCAATCTGGTAAGCTAACCTTATTCTTTTCTTTAATGTCTTCACTATTTAACAGGAACTAAGAAAAGAAGTCTTCAAACTCCTGTTGTACTACAATTTCAATCAAAGGCCAAGTAAGTGAGTCAAACTCATGCACAGATGCTGCACTTGGTAAATAAGAATAAGAACTTTATTTTCATTCTAGTTCAGCAGCATAGTCCTAGGAAGTGGTATCTTCCCTTCAGGATTTTATCAGAAATTTTGTCTGTGCTCCTTGTTTTCCCCATATATTTCCCACTGTTCCATTCTCTTCAATGTAATCAATTTATTATTATCATCTTTTTTCTTACCTTTTATTCCTTCTCACTCTTAGTTTGAAAGATTAGCCATAGTACATTATTTGCAAACTATCTCATATAGTTCTTTCTTTATCTTCTTTATTACACATTGTAGCATTATCCCTGTTATCATTTTCTTTTGTTAATTTACCTTAAAATAATATTAGCATCCACAACTTCTGCCTTTATACATTTACTGTCAAATTCCCTAAAACATTATACATGCACTCAAGAGATTCCACAAATCACAGTTTGGAACCACTGGTCCACATTACCTCATTTCAGACAAAATATCTACAAAGTGAATGTTATATCTGGAACACAGGTGAACTACTTTACCTCCACTTGCCAAGCAGGCATAAAATCTGCAGACTGTCTCACACGCTCAAATGCTTTCTGCAATGTTGGATTGATAATTGTATTGTCCTGGATACTCAGAATCTGCCCAAGTTTCAGTGCAGCACCTAAGGACAGAATGCCTAAATAGTTTTCAATTAGGAAAAAAAGATTAGTTGAAAAGAGTTCAGGCATGGTGCTACAATACACAGCAAGGACTGCAGAGAAATAAAACATTATTCACTCTGCCATCAAGAACTGTAATGACTGCTCCACAACTGTAAACAAATAAATTCAATCATTATTTAGTTTATACAGTGCGTACAATCAAGTGCGCGCCGCGGCTGCAATTTGCCGTGAGTCATACCACCGCAGAACGGATGCAGTCGCGGGGAGGAGTTGCAACTC